GATTATGTCACGTGAAAATAAGAGGTTAACTCTTGAATCAGAACTTATGACCAAACTGGACTTTCAACTTCCCCATTCATGATAAAGAAGTATGGTTTTGGTTCGATAAATTTTTTGAGTACGAAAGTGTTTTTTGACTTTTTGAATGTAAATGTTAACAATGCTTCTTATATTGAATAGTTACAATACAAAAAGTCACACTAACCAATGTATCGGCTGATCCAGGAAAATTGGATTCCATTCGTTCCAAGATGGAGGATCGAGTGGTTAAGTTGTCGCTTGCCATCAGTAGAGATTTGAGCAACCCCGATGTTAAAAAGTCTCAAGTTCAAAAATGTGTACGGTGGTTAACACGATTGGGATATGGAGAACATGTAATTAAATTATGCTACGTATGTCGAAAGAAGGAGCGGTGAATATGAATGAAATTTATGAAAGTTCACATTTATAGGCACGCGAACTTTTTCTTGTCGCTAGAAGCGAGAACATCCGGATAAGAACAAAGTGAGTATTTCGCGTTGACTTCAATTACCCATCCAAAAAAAATAAATTTCAGATTCTCATGACCTAAAAATTTTTTAGGCAATTAAAATTTGAAGGTGATATTCCTCAGTACATCAACGAATTGTCACTGGTATATTTTACTCTCATCAAGAACACGTGCGACTGGTATAGCGCGGCGTTTAGAGATATAAGAATGACGTCAGGTAGGAGATCCTTAATTTTAAGATAACTTCTAATTTATGTTGAGAGAATGAGAGATTGGTCTCTGGTTGTTTTCCAGAAATTTTCTTTGGTGAGGCATCTAGTATTATTATTTTTTAAAAAATAGGTCTGGTAAGATGGGCACAAGAAGAGCTGGAACATTACGTAAGCGTGTTTCGGCGTCAAGTTTATAGCTATCACGTGATAGACGAGAAAACCGTGCAAGAGTGCCTGCGATGTTCCAGAGAGCATTGTCTAATGGTAATTGAACGCACATGATATATTTATTAATCTATGTATTAATGCTTACTTGTAATTAAATTTTATATTATTACTATACAGCTGAGGGATGTTGGTTTGGACTTGAAATTTCTTTTGGACAATCTCCTAAAACCTGAAGAACTTCCCACCGCAGCTGAAAACAGAATTCCGGAATGATGAATCATGGAGTTGGATCATACGATGATCAGGATTAAGCTGGGGTGCCTTGATAGTGACCATTTTCAATTCAATCAAATGTCTTCGGAATTTATTATTGCATGTAAATGAATTTGATAGTTGTAAATTATTATTACTATTATTATTTTTTTTTTCGCGAACAAGAGGTATGGAGGAGTAAATGGCAATAGTGAAATCGTAGTG